CTGTTGCTTCCCGGTCTGGTGATGAATCCTCCATCATATGGTGAGTGTATATACGCTGATTGTTTTTTTTTTCTCACTGCTGTTTGCTCAATGCACCTTCTCTTTTATACTTAAATAAACCTAGAGTACTTTACAATCTGCACTTGCTGTGAGTGCTGTGTGTTTGCTTTTACCTGTGCACTCCCCACACAGAGTATGTCTCTACTGAAAAAAATAAATAAATAAATAACCGGGTGTGGTGCATGTGCCTGTAATCCCTGCTACTTGGGAGGCTGAGGCACGAGAATCACTTGAACCTGGGAGAGGGAGATTGCAGTGAGCCGAGATCATGCCACTGCACTCCAGCCTGAGCGAGAGAGTGAGACTCTGTCTCACAAAACAACAACAGCAACAAAAATTAGCCAGGCGTGGTGGCGTGCACCTGTACTCCCAGCTGCTCGGGAGGCTGGGGCATGGGAATCACTTGAACCAGGAAGGCAGAGGTGGCAGTAAGTCGAGATTGCACCACTGCACTCCAGCCTGGGCAAGAGAGTGAGATTCTGTCTCAAAAAAAAAAAATTCTATATATGGGTATATTTGACATGTCAAAGAAAGCTATGGAAGTGCACTCATTAAAATGTTAACATTGGTTATCTCTATGATATGAGGAAGAAGGATGGAGACCTCTTCTAGAGGATTCTATACCTCTAGGGAATGACTTAGCTTTTATACATCTCTACAAAAAATTGATTAAATTAGCTGGGCGTAGTGGTATAGGTATATGTAGTGGTATATGTAGTCCCAGCAGGCAGCTGAGCTGGGAGGATCACCTCAGCCTGAGAAGTCGAGACTGCAGTGAGTTGTGACTGCACCACTGCACTCCAGCCTAGGCAAAAAAGCAAGACCTTGTCTCAAAAAAAAAAAAAAAAAGGCCAGGTGTGGTGGCTTATGTCTGTAATCTCAGCACTTTGGGAGGCTGAGGCGGGTGGATCACTTGAGGTCAGTTCAAGATCAGCCTGGCCAACATGGTGAAACGCTGTCTCTACTAAAAATACAAAAATTAGCTGGGTGTGGTGCATGCCTGTAGTCCCAGCTACCCAGGAGGCTGAGGCAGGAGAATCGCTTGAACCCAGGAGGCAGAGGTTGCAGTGAGCCAAAATTACGCCATCGCACTGCAGCCTGGGCAACAGAGTGAAACTCCGTCTCAAAAAAAAAAAAAAAAAAAGGATAAAAGGAAAACTACAAATTCTACTGAATGTTTTATTTTCCTACTGGTGTGGTAATAAATAACCACAATGTTAGTGGCTTAAAACAATGCAAATTTAATATCTCGTAGTTCTACAGGTGAGGAGTCTCACCAGGTTAGAGTCAAGGTGTCAGCCACATTTTGATTCTTTTTGGAGGCTCTAGGGGAAGATCCCCACACTTGCTCATCCAGGTGTTGACCGAATTCAGTTCTATGATGTAGGATTGAGGTCTGTTTCCTGGCTGTCAGCTGGAACCCACCATTAGCCCCTAGAGTCCTCTCCCTGCCCTTGCACATAAGCCCCTACATTTCTTTTTTTTTTTTTTTTAATTATTTTTTTCTTTGAGACGGAGTCTCGCTCTATTGCCCAGGCTGAAGTGCAGTGGTGTGATCTCGGCTCACTGCAACCTCCGCCTCCCGGATTCAAGTGATTTTCTTGCCTCAGCCTCCCAAGTAGCTGGGATTACAGGCGCATGCCACCTCGCCCGGCTAATTTTTGCATTTTTAGTAGAGACGGGGTTTCACCATGTCGGCCAGGCTGGTCTCAAACGCCTGACCTGGTGATCCGTCTGCTTTGGCCTCCCAAAGTGCTGGGATTACAGGCGTGAGCCACCACGCCGGGCCCTACATTTCAAAAGCAGCAACAGGGCATAGAGTTCTTCTCATGCTTTGACTCTCTCCTGAGATTAGATTGGGCCCACCCAGATACTTCAGGATAATCTCATCTCCATATCCTTAACCTTAATTACATCTGCATAATGCCTTTTGCCACCTTAAGGTAACATATTCACAGGTTCCAGGAAATTAGGGAATGGACATGTTTGGGAGGCAATTGGTTTGCCTACCATAATGAAGGACACAAACAAAAAACCCCAACTTAAATGGCACACTTAAAGCTTGTTGCGCTACCCTACCTTGTTTTAACCTGAGTGACTCTCTCCTAGCAGAGAGCCGGGCAGACTCCATTTTAGTTTCTTTACTTGCAGGCCCCTTTATCCCCCTTAAGGGAATAACTAGTGCAAGCTGACTCCAATCACATCCAAGAATGCACCTGCTGATAAGATATTGAGGCAGGCTGTACCAGCAGCTCCTGGGAATGTGCTCGGTGGAAGATACCTAAAGCTCCTGCATTTATCTCTTAGTGATAGTTTAAGCCCTTGCACCTGGAACTGTTTATTTTTTGTAACTGCTTCTATAACCAATTAATTTTTTTAAACTTTTTGCCTATTCTGCTTCTGTAAAATTGCTTCAGTTAAACCCCCCTCCCCTATTTAGACCTTAGTGTAAAAGAAAATCTAGCCCCTTCTTCGGGGCCGAGAGAATTTTGAGCGCTAGCTGTCTCTTGGTCACCGGCTAATAAAGGACTCCATAATTTTTCTCAAAATGTGGCGTTTCTCTCTAACTCGCTTGGTTACAACATTGTCACATTCTTAGATGGGAAGATTTGCTATTGTAAAGATGTTATTTTCACCAAAATTAGCCTACAAATTCAGTGCTAGATGTTCTAAAAACTAAAGTTGAATTTTTTAAATTAGGTGAGTGGATAGATGCTCAGAGAATATATAGTGTTTAGAGAAATAAAGGAAGGTGACATCCTTAGACTTTAACTCAGGTAGACCGCATATGTTTTTGAGACAAATACACCAGCATTCTGCACCAGGGCTAAGACATGTTTCCCACTGTTTCCAAAATCCTGTTAATATCCAGGATTTGCTGGGCACAGTGGCTCATGCCTGTAATCCCAGCACTTTGGGAGGCCAAGGCAGGCAGATCACTTGAGGTCAGGATTTCGAGACCAGCCTGGCCAACATGGCGAAACCCGATCTCTGCTAAAAATACAAAAAAAGTTAGCCGGCGTGATGATGCACGTCTGTAAACCCAGATGCTCGGGAGACTGAGGCACAAGAATCGTGTGAACCCAGTACACAGAGGCTGCAGTGAGTCCAAGATCGCACCACTGCATTCCAGCCTGGGCACTAGAGCGAGACTGTCTTTAAAAAAAAAAAAAAAAAAAAAAATTAGGATTTTTCTGGTCACCATTTTTTAGGCACACATTGACTGATACAATGAACTGTCTACAGAGACTCGTTCCATCCTTTCCTATTCATAATCAAGAGCTCAAGACTGTATCATAAGCATAGTTTAACTTTAGTTCCCCTAACACATCATTTTTATACTTGTCAAATGTGAAACTCGTGTTATTATTATTATTTGTTTTGAGATGGAGTTTTGCTTTTGTTGCCCAAGCTGGAGTGCGATAGCACGATCTCGGCTCACTGCAACCTCCGCCTCTCAGGTTCAAGCAATTCTCCTGCCTCAGCCTCCTGAGTAGCTGGGATTACAGGTGCCCGCCACCACGCCCGGCTAATTTTCGCATTAACTCCTGACCTTAGGTGATCCACCCGCTTCGGCCTCCCAAAGTGCTGGGATTACAAGCGTGAGCCACCGCGCCCGGCCTCGTGTTATTTTTCTGTCCACTCACACAGCTTTATGAGAACTTTCGGCAAAAGTTTCTGATGGATGGGCATTGGATCTTCACTGTCTTGAGATTTAGAAAGAAACTGTTTAAGAACTACTTCCATCATGATGCATCCTCAGGAGATGTGGATGAACTGCGGACATGTGGGATGAAGATGAATAAGATATGAGTAAGTTTGTATCTCCCTCTAAACAAAGTGGCTTTTGTCAAAATGTACTTGTAAAGAAATGTATAGGCTGGGCAAAGTGGCTCATGCCTGTAATCCCAGCACTTTGGGAGACTGAGGCGGGAGAATCGCTTAAGCCCAGGAGTTGGAGACCAGGTTGGACAACACAGTTAAGATTCTGTGGCTAAAAAAATAAAAAAATTAGCGTGGTGGTGCATGCCTGTAGTTCCAGCTCTTCTGGAGCCTGGGCTGCAGTGAGCCGTGAGGGTCCCACCACACTCCAGCCTGGGCGAGTGAGACCCCGTCTCAAAAAAAAAAAAAAAAGCAATTAACCCACAATTTTCAAGGCAATTGTTATGCTTTATCACAACAAGAAGTGTTTGAAATGCATCCCATTTGTAGATCCCTAGAAGTAAAATAGTCACCTTTGTTTACATTCTTACACCAAACACAGTTTTTGGAAGAGGTATCTCAGACTTCATTCTTATGCCCAGATTAAAGGTCAATTGTGAGTCCTTTTATTTTGTCTCCACCTTATTACCTTCCTAGCCAAAACATGGAAGTAAAACACCTTTTCTACGTTAATACTGCATTTCCAGGGATCTTGGGGTGTCCCGGGGGAGGGCGTGGTCCCCTCTCCGTCATGGCGGGGTGTGGATTCGGTAGCCGTCTCCCGGCGCCGCGGTACCCAGGACAGGAGGAAGAGGCTAGGAAGGGTCCAGGGAGGCTCAGGCCGGGTCTGCGACTTCCCGGCGGCGGGTGCTGCAACGACCCTGTGGGCACCTGCCTGTCAGACGGCACCCGCTCCCAGCCCTCTCCAGCCTGCGGCCGCTCCTCCCCCGGCCCTACTCCAGCCCCGCCCGTGCAGTAAGGCCAGAGTCTGGTGCAGCGCCAGGCGGGACCGTCCCATCTTCGAAGTTTTCTGCCCCGCAATTATCTCAGACGGGGGAGAGACAGAAGAGAGAGAAAAAAAAAAAAAAGCCAAGGGCAACGGGACACCCGGATGTATCAAGCACCGCCCCCTGGAGCCCCATCGCGCATGAGCACCGTGGAGGCAAGGGCGCGGCTTGGGGGAGGGAGGAGGCAGGGCGGTGGTTGGGCGAAAGGAGAGCCACGCCCGCTACGGAACGTCTCTGCGCATGCGCCGGGGGCGAGCTTCTGGTACTTTCGACGCGTCTGCTGACGTAGGCTCTCAGTCCGCGTCCGGACGTCGAAGGTGGAGGTTGTAGAGTTCGCTGTTCGAGAGTGGGCACGAAACGCTCCTTTTAGTCCTGCGTTCCGAAAGGAGGGTGTCTGTTGGGCCTTTCTCTCAGTCGTGAGGGAGGCGTCGACGGCCTACGGTAAGTTTTCTACTGACGGGGTCTCTCAGGACCGCCCATTGGTCTCTCAGGAGTGAGGGACGGGAAACGTGCTGGGCTCGCGTTTGGGGAACGCAGCGTTTCGCTTCGAGGCCGCGGCCTCAGGGCGCCGAGCGGAGTTTTTAAGGCTGATTCCCTTCGCCGCGGCCGCCTCCCGCGCCTTGGCTCCGCCTCCCGGAGGGCCCCAGACTGTGGCTTCCGGGTGGCCGGGCGCCCGCTTCCGCGACGCGACTTGTTTTTCTCTCTGGGATTTTTAGGAAGTCGTGAGTTGAGGCTTGCGGGATCGTTTCCGGAGAAAGCGCGGGCTAAGGCCGCAGCGGAAGATGTCCAACTACGTGAACGACATGTGGCCGGGCTCGCCGCAGGAGAAGGATTCGCCCTCCGCCTCGCGGTCGGGCGGGTCCAGCCGGCTCTCGTCGCGGTCTAGGAGCCGTTCTTTCTCCAGAAGCTCTCGGTCCCGTTCCCGCGTCTCGAGTCGGTTTTCGTCCAGGAGTCGGAGCCGGAGGAGTAGGTCAAGGTCCCGTTCCCGAAGGCGTCACCAGCGGAAGTACAGGCGCTACTCGCGGTCATACTCGCGGAGCCGGTCGCGATCTCGCAGCCGCCGTTACCGAGAGAGGCGCTACGGCTTCTCCAGGAGATACTACCGGTCTCCTTCGCGGTCCCGGTCCCGTAGCAGGTCGCGCTCTCGGGAAAGGTCGTACTACGGAAGGGCGTACGCGATGGCGCGCGGGCGGCGCTACTACGGCTTTGGTCGCACAGTGTACCCGGAGGAGCGCAGCACATGGAGGGACAGATCCAGGACGAGGTCGCGGAGCAGAACCCCGTTTCGCTTAAGTGAAAAAGGTGGGTGGGTCATTTATCTTTCTAGTTTTGGTAATGTGTGGTGACAGTATACGAGGAGGTTAGGGAACCAAAGTTGCTGTGTAGTTTCAATATTACTTCCTTTGGTGCTGGAAATTTTTTTCGTTGGAGGAAAGAGGGAGGACATTACTTGTAGTTAGGGGACAGCATTCTGTCTCTTCAGGGTTAAAGGTCAATCGGATGTTAAATGGCTCAGGATGTAGGGAACCTTTTTTCCTATTGGCTGACTGTTCTTGGTGGTGGAGCCTTTTAAATGTTGTGATTAAGTTAAAGGTTTTAAATTTACTATAGATTGGGAAGAACAACATCAAAACACGCTGCCTTTTAGTTGACATTATTACTGAATACAATTGAATTGTCGAGTATCTTAAATGATTTAGGAGGCCGGCACGGTGGCTCACGCCTGCGATCCCAGCACTTTGGGAGCCGGAGGCGGGCGGGTCACTTGAGGCCAAGCGTTCCATACCAGCCTGGCCGACGTAGCTCACTATCTCTAGTAAAAATACAAAAATTAGCCGGGGGTGGTGGTAGAAATACACTTGAGTGTATCGGTATTGGTTCAGTGGTTGTGATAATTGTACCATGTAAAGAATCTGTTGCAGAAAACTCTGGTTTTCAGAAATATCTTTGAAGAAAAAGCAAAATAATACCACTATTAACTAGAGAAAATTAGCTACAACAAAAAGACGAAATAGTAGGACGTTCAGGCCTTTAGTCAGGAAAACTGAAAACTAAGATTATTTAAGAATTTTATTTCTTTAAGCAAGAAGTGAGCTGGAGAGTTGAGTTTTCAGTGAATAAAGTTACACAGTTGTCCCTGTGTTCACTCGGGGGATTGGTGCCAGGACGCATATGGAACCCTCACGCATGCTTGGGGTTTACAGTCTCAAATACTGTGGTACTTTCTATCTGCATTTAGTAGGGAGAAAAAAATCTAACTATAAAGTAGACCAGCGCAGCTCAAACCAGTGTTAAAGGGCAACCTTACTTTACGTATTGTAAACAAGTGACTTAATACATTTAATACCACAAAATAACATGCTTATTTTGTAATTCTGAGTTCTCTTGGGGGGAAAAAAACTACCAGACTAATGAATAAAAAAAATTTTTTTTTTTTTTCAGATCGAATGGAGCTGTTAGAAATAGCAAAAGCCAATGCAGCGAAAGCTTTAGGAACAACCAACATTGATTTGCCAGCTAGTCTCAGAACTGTACATGTAGCCAAAGAAACAAGCCATGGAATAGGTGTATCAAGTAATGGTGCAAAGCCTGAAGTAAGTATTCTAGGTTTGTCCCAACAAAACGTTCAGAAAGCCAACTGTCAAATCTGATAAGCCACTTACTATTTACCTTAGACTATACTTTTTGGGAAGTCTAGCTATGTATATAATGTGCTAAATTCAGAGTAGCAGATCTGAAGATAAGCAAGGTGTCATACCCATGAAAATGGGAGATTGATGAACTTTAGTGGCAGATCTGAAGATAAGCAAGGTCGTACCCATGAAAATGGAAGATTAATGAACTTTATTTGGCCGTGCATGGTGCCTCTTGCCTGTAATGAGGCAGATGGCTTGAGTCCAGGAGTTCAAGACCAGCCTGGGCAACGTGGAAAAACCGCGTGTTTACAAAAAAATACAAAAATTATCCAGGCATGGTGGCGCATGCCAGTAGTGCCAGCTGTTTGGGAGGCTGAGGCTGGAGGATCTTTGAGGCCAGGATGCTAAGGTTGCAGTGAGCCAAGATTGCACCATTGTACTCCAGCCTGGGCAGCAGAGTGAGACCCTGTCTCAAAAAATACATTTAATTTTTAATTTTCAGTTAACACTGTACTCTTAGAACACCATTAATATATTGTAGCTGGTACTTCGGTGATTCTGTTACCAGGTTTTCTAAGCTATTTACAGTGCGTAGCTTTCATTTGCAGCATTATGTTCCCACAAATCTGTACTCAGCATATACAGTATAGTTTATCTGCTTTATTTCTGTCTTATAGAAATCATGAATGTGGTCTGCAGACATTGATGAAGAAAATCTGTTGGTAATTGATACATGGGCTAAAGCATCAGAGGTTTAATTTGAAGTTTATGTTCACACACTGAAAACTTAGTTTTCTTTGTTGGTAGATACATGTGCATGCTAGAATTTGGGACAGGTACAATTTTGTATAAAGTATTAAAGTCAGTTTTTAAAGTAAGCAAAGGTACATGTTGTAATGGTGGGGCATCCGTGAAAAAGATGTCCCTTTCATAATATATGCAATATATTCCAGATGTTTTGAGAGATTACAGAAGAGGAGGCCTGCTTCATTTGCAGATAAGTTTATTATAATTCTCCACAAATGTGCAGGATGTGCATTAGCAAATTGCACTGTACTTTTCACTCCAGCCTGGGTGACAAAGCGAGACTCTGTCTCGAGGAAAAAAAAAAAAAAAAAAGATGCTGTATCTAAATGAATCTGTGTAATTGGGCCCAGATGTGGGTTTGCTCAGTATTAGTAGACAAGGTCTTTGTTCAGACGATTAGGTGCCTAACTGGCAAATGTCTTAGCTTCTTAAAGCTAGGTATTTCTGATGCGGCTTTACTTTTCAAAAGTTAACTTGATTCAACCTGAGAAAACTGATTAAAAAACTAGTTTAAAAATTACTTAAATTTGCCAGCAGGGAAGTAAAATAATTATGAGAAGAACGTCTTAAGCCTAATATTAGTTTTGTTAAGGGGAAAACTCAATAATTGTTACTTCAGCTGTTGAATATATGGTTAGATCCAAGTTGATTTTTGTGTCTACAACTAAATTTTGTATACAATTAGATTATTTTTAATATAGGATTTAGAAACCAAGGGTATGTGTTTTAAAATTATACTTTTTCTTGACCTGTCTAGCTGTCAGAAAAGGTAACAGAAGATGGAACTAGAAATCCTAGTGAAAAACCTTCCCAGCAAAGAAGCATAGCTTTTAGCTCTAATGTAAGTATGTCTAGGCATTGATCACTCAAAAATTGGATTTAGGATGTATTTGCATCTTTGTGTTTTTATCTTCGTGGTGATACTTGGGGGCCTACTGACACAGTTTTTAAATAGAATTAAAATCGTTTGTTTTTGAGCCATGTTTACGAGTGGCCATTACAATGGGTTCCTAACCTATCTGACATTCACATTCGTTTCGGTATTTTGCCTTTCTTTTAAGTCTCTCCCCTTTTTAAAATATTTCAATAAAAGGGAAATCTTCAAAATACTCCTTAATCACAATGTTTTAAAATACGGTTTCAAAAATGAAGCCTCCAAATCATTACACCTTGTGTATGTCCAGTGTTTCCCTGCTGCCCCAGTATCTTCACAGCTACAATTAAGGTTCATACTATGTTTGGTTGATAATCTTTTTTTTTTTTTTTTGTTTTTGAGACGGAGTCTCGCTCTGTCGCCCAGGCTGGAGTGCAGTGGCCCAGTCTCCGCTCACTGCAGGCTCCGCCTCCGGGTTCATGCCATTCTCTTGCCCCAGCCTCCCGAGTAGCTGGGACTACAGGCGCCTGCCACCACACCCAGCTAGGTTTTTGTATTTTTAGTAGAGACGGGGTTTCACCGTGTCAGCCAGGATGGTCTTGATCTCCTGACCTCATGATCCGCCCACCTTGGCCTCCCAAAGTGCTGGGATTTACAGGCTGTCTCTTATACACATCTAGATGTGTATAAGAGACAGGGCTGGAGTGCAGTGGTGTGATCTTGGCTCACTGCAGCTTCTGCCTCCTGGGTTCAAGCGATTCTCCTGCCTCAGCCTCCCGAGTAGCTGAGACTACAGGCGCACACCACCACACCCAGCTAATTTTTGTATTTTTAGTAGAGACAGGGTTTCGCTGTGTTTGCCAGGATGGTCTCCATCTCCTGACCTCATGATCCGCCCGTCTCAGCCTCCCAAAGTGTTGGGATTACAGGCGTGGGCCACCACGCCCAACAGTTGATATCTCTAAGGCTCGTATATGGGATTATTTAATATACTTTTCTGTGTGAAAATGTATAATTATATGTTTGGGAAGCTGACTGAATTTGTTTTTTTACAGAATTCTGTAGCAAAACCAATACAAAAATCAGCTAAAGCTGCCACAGAAGAGACATCTTCAAGATCACCAAAAATAGATAAGAAAAAAAGTCCATATGGACTGTGGATACCTGTCTGAAAGGAGAAAACTAATGGCTAAGTTTGCATGAAAACTGCACTTTATTGCAAGTTAGTGTTTCTAGCATTATCCTATCCCTTTGAGCCATTCAGGGGTACTTGTACATTTAAAAACCAACACAAAAAGATGTAAATACTTAATACTCAAATATTAACATTTTAGGTTTCTCTTGCAGATATGAGAAATAGCACAGATGGACCAAAGGTTATACACAGGTGGGAGTCTTTTGTATATAGTTGTAAATATTTTCTTGGTTATGTAAAAATGAAATTTTTTAGACACAGTAATTGAACTGTATTCCTGTTTTGTATATTTAATAAACGTCTTGTTTTAATTCTTAGTCTCTGTTCTATATGTAATTACCTAATGGGTCTTTGTAGAGATACAAGGAGGCGTGTGTTGATTAAAGCCTTGTTAATCTCAAGTCCAAGGCTCACTGGCCCAAAGTGGGATTTTGAGAAATGCCGAATCTCAATCAAGTCCCTACCCTAGACCTTCTGAATTAGAAACTGAATTTTAACAGGATTCCCAGTTGAGGTCAATACTTCAAACTTGAAAAATTGCCCTAAAAAATTTATGGAATACTGGGCTTCAAGGCAAGAAACTAAGCCAGAAAGAGGAGAAATAGAATCCCTCATTAAGCTGTAAAATCTGTGTGGTGTAGTTAACATTTATGCCTTTGAAAGTATTCTAAAGAAATTTTTTTTTTTTTTTTTTTTTTGAGACCGAGTGCAGTGGTGTGTTCTGAGCTCACTGCAAGCTCCACCTCCCAGGTTCACGCCATTCTCCTGCCTCAGCCTCCCGTGTAGCTGGGACTACAGGTGCCCGCCACCACACCTGGCTAAGTTTTTTGTGTTTTTAATAAGAGATGGGGTTTCACTGTGTTAGCCAGGGTGGTCTCGATCTGACCTTGTGATCTGCCTGCCTCGGCCTCCCAAAGTGCTGGGATTACAGGCGTGAGCCACTGTGTGTGACCCTTCAGCACATAAAATTTTTAAGAAGTAGGTATTACACTTTATGAACTGGAAAATATAGACGGCTGGTCTAAATAAGTGGACTGATTTTTATGGATAGACTCTTTAATTTTTGGAGATAGGGTTTCTTGCTCCATCACCCAGACTGGAATGTAGTCAGTCACAGCTTGCTGCAACTCCAGGGCTCAGGCAATCCTGCCACAGCTTCTGCCATATAGGCTTATGCCACCGCACCTGGCTAGTTTTTGGGGGTAGAGATGAGTGGGATTTCTGTGTTACCCTAGGCTGGTCTTGAACTTGTGGCTTCAAGCAATGCTGCTCCTGTGGCACCCCCAGAGTGTAGGGATTACAGGTGTGAGCCACTGTGCCTGGCCTAAAATAATAGTTTGACCAAATGTTTTAACTTTCTTACAAGGATATTTGGTTTTTTTGAAGGATGGCATTTTACAGAATGTTATTAGGGATCAGTCTCCATCTCCATGGTTTTTTCCCATAAATGCACCTGGGCTGTGCAGTAGAGCAGGGGACAGGAAAGCACCTATAATTGTGACCACTTCTGGGGAAGAGGAGGGACTACGGTGAATTTCCAGTAGCCATTGTCACCTTCCTTTCACTACTTACATAGCTTGCAAGAAAATTTAGCACCCTGCTGCTAAAGCTCCCAAGGTCAACTCTAGGCTTCACATTAAACACAGAAAACACAAGTGAATAATACACAGATAAACGTGGAAATAACACACATTTCAAACATTTCTTTACCAATGTGCATGGGCCTGGCCAGGTGGCAATCTGAGTTGGTCTCCTAGACTCTGCATCAGTTTCCGTAGCAGCGCCCAGGATTTGCGGTCTCTGCGCTTTCGTCCTGAGGAGGAGCGTCTTCGAGGGTGGGGGGGAGGTGGCTTGGCCTCGGAGGCCGAGACCCAGTCCCAATGCCTCTGCCTCCCTCTCCCCCGGCATCGCATCCTTCTCTAGGACAGACCTAGCCGCAAACGCCACTACTTCGCTACCCCCAGGCAAGTGCCTGCCACCGGTCTGGTCAGTCACAGTCTCTGCCCTCCCCTGGCAATGCTTCCCCCCACTTCCGGTAACAATTAAGTGGAACCCCGGGCCTCACTTTTCCGGACGAAACGTAACCCGGCCCTTCCTGGGGTACCTCTAGAGAAGACAGTCCCCGCCCCTGGCAGTCCTGGGGTGTGTCTGATTGGGCTAGGCCTGTGCGCAGGCGCATTGGGTGGAGAAACCTGGACATGTGTGGGAGATATGAGGAGGCTGTGAGCCATGATCTCAGCCTGGGTGACAGTGAGACCCTGTCTCAAAAACAAAAACCTATCCCCCTCCTTCCTCTGATTTCCTTAAATGCCTTTCTTTAGGGAAGCCAGCTCACCACTTGAAAAGTCAGTTTCCCCTGTTACAGCTCTTCATACATTTTCATCTTTGCAGCACTTACATAAATGTAATTAAATAAGTGTAATTGCTTGTTTACCGTAGTTAATTTTGGGTTTTTTTGAACCCAAAATTTTGAGCGAATCTCGCTCTGTCACCCAGGTTGGAGTGCAGTGGGGCGATCTCAGCTCACGGCAACCTCTGCCTCCTGGGTTCAAGTGATTCTCCTGCCTCAACCTCCTGAGTAGCTAGAATTACAGGTGCCTGCCACCACGCCTGGCTAAGTTTTGTATTTTTAGTAGAGACGGTTGGTTAGGCTGGCCTGGAATTCCTGACCTCAAGTGATCCACCCGCCTAGGCCTTACGAAGTGTTGGGATTACAGGCATGAGCCACTGAGCCCGGCCTAATATAGTTAATTTAAATGACATTTCTTAACCTCTATTAAAATAGCAAATATTTGGCCAGGCACTGTGGCTTACTCCTGTAATCCCAGCACTTTGGGAGGCTGAGGTGGGAGGATTACCTGAGCCCAGGAGTTCAAGACCAGCCTGGGCGACAGAGCAAGACCCTGTCTCTACCTCTGACCGTGCCAACCCCCAAAATTGAAGTATTAGCCGGGCATAGGGGCAGGTGCCTGTAGTCGCAGCTACTCGGGAGGCTGAGGTGGGAGGATCCTCTAGGAGGCAGAGGTTGCAGTGAGCCAAGATTGTGCCACTGCACTCCAGGCAAGGCAACAGAGCAAGACCTTGTCTCAAAAGCAAATATGGCAGAGTAACAGAATTGTTTTCTATGTTATAGATGATTTGATAGAGCAATATTATGGATATTTACATTCTTTAAGAAAACAGTGTTAATTATAAACCAGGCATGGTGGCTCATGCCTGTAATCCCAGCTACTCAGAGGAAGCAGCTGAGGATGGAGGGATGACTTGAGGCCAGGAGTTCGAAATCAGCCTAAATAACATAGTGAGACCCTGTCTCTTAAAAATAAAGTCAATTATAAAATTATTTTCAGTAAGATCCCTTATCAGAATTAGAGGTTTTGAAAGTTATATTACTAGGCTTATGTATGCTAAGTAATTACTGCTTACAAAGTTGTAGACTGGGTAAGAAAAACCAAAGAGTGAAGCATGCCGGGGCTAGCAATAGGGGGATCCATCACTACTACTATCCCTAAAGAGGCAAAAGAAGGGAGCAGCAATGGGAACCCAGAAAGTATAGGGTTAGGCCAGGCGCGATGGCTCACGCCTGTAATCCCAACACTTTAGGAGACCAAGGCAGGTGGATCACCTGAGGTCAGGTGTTCGAGACCAACCTGACCAACAAGGTGAAACTCTGTCTCTACTAAAAATATAAAAATTAGCCGGGTGTGTTGGAAGGTGCCTGTAGTCCCAGCTACTTGGGAGGCTGAGACAGGAGAGTTGCTTGAACCTGGGAGGTGGAGGTTGCAGTGAGCTAAGATCACGCCACTACACTCCAGCCTGGGCAATGGAGAGAGACTCCGTCTCAAAAAAAAAAAAGAAAAAAAAGAAAATGTAGGGATAGAAGATAGTCTTCAGACAGAAGTGGTGCCTACAGAAATATGCCAAATCCATAATCCAGCTAGGGAATAAATACCTTGACCTCATTTCTTCCAAACCTTTGATCTTATATAGGTACTATGCACTGGCAGGACCCAGGAAGGCAGAGGGCAAGAGAGTTTACTAATGCAGTCCATTCAGGCCAGCACTCAGGGACACAGAACATGGAGACCAGTGGAGAGTAGTTCTAACAGGGCAGACAGAAAATATCTAGCACAATTTTTTTTTCAACAGGATATGGCAACAATTAAAAAAATTGGAGTCTTATAAGAAATCTGTTCAAATTATATTTATACATATTTATTAACAACAGAACAAGTGATGTGTCTAATTGAATTTTTCTAGATGCTGGAAGATCTTCCATCGTATATGCTAGTCTTTACAATGTGACATTGGCACTCCTTCAATCTAGAAGTAGAGTCTGTTTCCCTAATCCTTGAATCTGTGACAATGGAGGGAGAGACACTGTGTGAACTCTGAGACTAAGTCATAAAAAGTGAAACACAGATTCCACCTAGTTCTCTTGGGATACTTGTTCTTAAAACCAGCCCCCATGCTTTGAGGAAGCCCAGGCCAATGGAGAGGCCAGGTGTGGGTGTTCAGGCAGACAGCCAACATCAACCACCAGACTTCTGAGTGAGGAAACCTTTGCAAGGATTCCAGCCCCAGCCCCTAATCTGACTGCAACTGCATGAGAGACCCTGTGTGAGAACCACACCAATTCTTAGAACTATGAGAGATAATAATAAAGTAATACTTATGTTAAGGTACCAAGTTTTGGGGCAATTTGTTATGCCACGATAGAGAAATGATACAGTTCAGAACAGGTTTTTTGTTGTTGTTGTTTGTTTTTTTGAGCCAGACTCTCACTCTGTCGCCCAGGCTGGAGTACAGTGGTGCGATCTCAGCTCACTGCAATCTCCGCCTTCCAGATTCAAATGATTCTCCTGCCTCCGCCTCCCGAGTAGCTGGGACTACATGTGAACACCGCCATGCCCAGCTATTTTTTTTGTATTTTTAGTAGAGACGGGGTTTCACCGTGTTGCCCAGGCTGGTGTCGAACTCCTGAGCTCAGGTGATCCACCCACCTCAGCCTCCCAAAGTGCTGGGATTACAGGTGTGAGCCACTGCACCCAGTCCAGTTTTAAAAAATCATACATTATCATGTTGCACAGAAAAGTAACGTTGAAAGTCCTGTGAATATTCTTAATACATCCTTATAAAATCAGAGTTGTTGAGCAATTTTTACCACACATAATCTTTCCCTTTCCTTTCTATACTGCCTTTTTTTTTTTTTATCACTTCCAGAAACTTCTTTAGTTAATTATGAACATTTACTTTTTTTTAAGGTCAGACTTGCAGATTTTAATTTACAGTATAAACAAATTGGTAATATAGAGCT